AGGACGACACGAGTTTGCGAGGTGATGTCCCTTTCTCATCTATTAGACCTTCCCTATATACTCATTGACCATAACATGACATTGTGGATAAAATTAAATAAAACGTTGACCTCCAGCTTTTAGTATTTATTTACATGAAAAATAAAACAAATAATGTGATCTTTATTTAAACAGAACAAAATTTTCCATAGCATACTAGTCTTTATTTAATTTAATAGGGATGACGACAAACTTTTTTCTTCGTCTATCAGGTAGGTAGCTAGATTATCAAAAAATATTGGACACGTATTTTTCTTTATTTACATAATCAAAGTATTACAAAACATTTTGATTTAAAATATGGCATGACATCTCTGTCTTAGTACAATTTTTACTTAGAAGTGACTTCACAACAGCCTCCACTCCCAAACTTTGACGCACTTTATCTTTGCCAGTTTTTTGGTTGATTAACAAAAGAATAAATCAGTGTCCATTATTTATTGTAAATTTTACTGTCGGACTAAACAGGATTTCGTTTAATTTACACCGTCATCATTCCTATTTAACAGCGTAACTCTTTTCAAGAGTCTAAGGTCCGTATTACAGAATGACAACTAAGTGTTGATCTTTACTTGAGTACAGTTAGAAAGGGATGTCGCTTTGTGCTATATATATAGCGACATGCCTTTCTTACTATGCTCAAGACTAGATCAATCACTGAGAATCTTTCTATAATACAGGCCCAAAAGTGTTTTATGAAAATATATAAGAAAAACGTATTGTGTAGTCCAATAAGTGTTTGATTATTGTGACATAATAAAAATTTGCTACCGTGAGATTTTACAATTATAATTTAGTCAAAAATCTGCTTAAAATACACGTTTGTTAGGCACTGGATGTTACCTACAATTCCGTGTGTAAAGAATGACTAGCTTTTCGTTTTTAAGATTCAATTTTAACTTAACTTATTTGCTTAGATTTTTTTTGCTGCCGTTGCAAGGTTGTTGTAAGGTTTCTTACCCTTGTTTCACTAATTAATCGTCTGTTACTATTTAAATTTCTATTACTTACATACATTTATAGCCAGTTAAGTAAATTTGAATTGGTTTTACAAAAAGTCGTGATTAAATTTTAGAAAATAATCTAATATGTCATAACATATTTCACGGTGCGGTGATATAAGTAAATAAGCAAGTACAGGAATAAATATGTATAAAGACAACAATCTAGCCTAAAGATACTGTAACATGTATTAGTATCATAATTACGAATGTATGATGATATAAGTATGTACTTCAAATAAAAACAGTGGACTTTTTCTTTTTTGTTTTTTTTACAGCTCACACTGAGACACGCAGTTGAATATAGCCATTTTCGGATTCTCTCAATCAAATTGGTACCTTATCGTGTACTTGCGACTTCAAGGAGTGTACACAGCGTCAAAATATCGAATGTCATTGCGTCGCCGTCGTGGAGCATTCTTAATGTGAACTGGCCCTAAGGTACTCTTCGAATGCTAAGTTAAAAGATCACACTAAGCTCTCAGAGCATCATGATAACATGCAACAAAAATTGCGATTCAGAATACTCAAAATTCAAGGATGAAATATAGACAAAGTTTAAAAACTTTCTTAAATGGAAATAAATTCGGCTATCAGGGTCACTGGAAAATTAATTGTGAATTATTGTGTAGACGATACCGTATTCAGAAAATTATAAGGTTAATTTTGAAGTATTAAAAAAATCATTATGGATTGCATAGTGATTTTCTGAATACTTCAAAATTGCTGACAGCTTCTTCAACTAAAGTTAGGACCACACTACAGACAGACATTAGTCCATATAGACTTAGTGCTACAAGCCAAGCTTCTCTCTCAGTGATTAATTCCTTTACTCTTTTCACGGAAACGAGCTAGTACCGAATTAAAGCTTAGCTTCTCTGTCATTGGCCAGCTTATACTGTTGACGTTACTTCAACTAATGAGCGCCCCCTATCTCATGTTACACAGTTATCCATCTTCATTTGTAAGGGATAGTGTGAAAGAAAAGCTCTCCATTAATTCCTGACGGCGAACAGAGTATAGCGAACAAAAGCATTGAATATTAACGTAGTTATAAGTCGCGACACGAAACTTTAGCACTGAGCGTTATTGCGCAGAAGTAAAAATTAAGATGTCTTAGGGGAAACAGAGGTGAGCGGGCGGGCGAGCGTTGCGCCGATTGGCTCTTCAGTCATACCTATGAGCAGCTATCCCCTCCGCGTTTGCTTGAGTTACGTGCCGCGACCTGTAGCCTCACTTCAAGAGATCCAGCTAGGCATAGTTCCTAGAATATCTATAAGTTTGTCGCTACTGTCGAAACCTGTAACCCGTAGTGTGTCCTTAGCTTAGGCAAGGATTTTAACTAGAAAGTATTTGAGTATTATATTAAAACAACCTTACAAAATATAACAAGGTATCCGGATAGGTCAGCCCTACATAAATTGAAGCGATTTAAAAATATGCATTTCCTAGTTATAGCTGTACATTTAAAATAGACTAGATTATGCCTAACTTAAAAAAAAATCATCATCAAACCAATACATAATATAAATTGCGAATTTCTATTTTTTCTATTCTATTGTGATTATGTCACACAAAACTATAATTACATATACACATTTTTCTTTTTTTATGATACAATACATTTTTACACGCATAATAATATTATGAGATTTATCACATTATTTATTTATAATAAAATAAATGGGAACAATCTTAGCAACAGTAACTAGACAACGTACAATAATTTAATGACTTAACGATGACTATTTTTTTTTATTCTCTTGATATAAACTTTACAAAGGCTAAATAGTTTTACTTAAATTCCGTCTCTAGTAACCTGATGAATGATTATTATTTTATGTGTTTAACATAGTACATTATATAATTTATTCTGAATAATCCAAATACATTTACATACATAGCTTTTCTCCTTTTTCCACATAGCATAATAATATTTATGGCCTCGCGCGGGAGTTTTGTCTGCGGACTATTTTGCCACCAAATTAGATTGCTTAGAACAAGACTCACTCATGTAAGTTACTCGTCCATAGTCCCTCGTCTGCGCAGGGCATTATGGTGACACAATTAAAAAAAAATAAGTATTTATAATGAACACAACTTAGATTAAATTAGTATGGTGGATAAAGCTATGCATGTATTTAATTAAATAACTGTTTATTAAATGGTTTATCAATCGAATGTTATTTATTGCACTTTATTTACTTTTGGCTAGAACAATATGCGTATTTCATTTAAAAGATAATAAGTTTTATTTTGTCATATGTGCGTCAGCAGAAATCATTAGCTTTTCTCACCCATACCTGTTTAGTTAAACTTTTCTTATTGGTTTCGAAGAATTATTTATTTTTATTAAGATAACATTACAAGCTTTTAAACCATAAGCTTTTAAAAGTGTTCTTAATTCTCTATGGCGTAAAATAGCGAAGTCTTTTTCAGTCCGACTAGTCCAGTTCCAGTCTAACGATATTAATATTGTTCGCGGAGCATAGCATAGCTCCTCATCCTGACATGCGAAAGAATTCTAGAAAGGGTTCTGGTAATGGTAGGAAAGTGTGTGTAGATCGACCTATTCCTGGGCTTATACTGCCTTATTCTATATAGCAGACCAAAGTTGGTCATGGCTTAAGCCATGATTAGGTTTAAACCTAATGTTGTCTGTATCTTCTTTTTAGCGAACGAAAGTGACAGCATCCCTTTTAAACCAAGTGTAACTTTAGTTCGCGTTTTGGAATAAGGGGGTTAGTGATGGTTTGAAACATAGTGCCTAAGTTTGGAGCGCTAAGTTTATTATATATTATAGTGAAGGCCGCGCCAGGTTATACTTCCTGTTATGGAAATTTAACAATTAGTGGGACTGAAAATAGAAGGAAGGCGCATTTCGGCCTTGTTTGTATCACTGTATTTTCCGGAGACTATGCAATGTGGTGGTGTCAGGTGACTAGTGCAGGTATAGTCTGCTTTTAATTTGCAGAGCTTAGCTCATTTCACTATTCTATAGAACTGGAGAAAATGAGCGGTGATGATCTCGTGGGCTTGGAAAGTTACAGCGAACAGATTTGGAGTTAGCTTATATGACATATATTCAGCTGTGCGAGGAACTTTTGCAAGTGATAAGACCTAATGAACATGCTTTAATTATTATGTTAGCTTTGTCAAGGTGTAGTTTAAACAGTGCATGTGATTGGGACCTTCACGTACGTATACAAAGGTACATAGGTACATCTGTGAGCTGTAACGACAGCTGCATACAATTAAAGTTAACGTGATGGTAAAACACATATCCTGTTGTTCGAGGAAGTTCTGCAGGTGGTAAGACCTAATGAACGTGCTTTAATTATTAAGTCAGCCTTGTCTATATCAACGGTGCAGCTTGAATCAGAGCGCTGCACTATCTAGTGTTAAAGTCGATACTGGTAGTGGCAGGTCACACATCCAGCTGTGCGGGAAGTTCTACAGCTGGTGAGACGTAATAAAAGCGCTTTAATAAAGTCAGCTTTGTCTATATCATCAGTGCTGTTTGAATCAGACGGCTTCGGCTATTAAGTGTTATAGTGGAGTAGGCGGGGTAGGTCACTTAAAGTCACAGATCCAGCGCTGCACTATCTAGTGTTAAAGTCGATACTGGTAGTGGCAGGTCGGACAGCTGGTGAGACGTAATAAATGCGCTTTAATTAAGTCAGCTTTGTCTATGTCATCAGTACTGTACCCTTAGTACGAATTTGAGCTCACGAAAACTATCATAGTTTTCGTATTTGTAAATTATGTTTTTATGTCCATTTTGGTGAAAAGTAACCAAATATACTTAAAATTTAAGAAGACGCAAATGATTTAATGATATAATTTAAACACTGTTTCTTTGTATTGAAACGAAAACAATAAAATCAGTACCCTTAGTACGAGTGCGAGCTCACGAAAACTATCATAGTTTTCGTAATTTTAAAACTCGTACTAAGGGTACTGTTCGAATCAGAACGTTTCGGCTATTAAGTGTTATAGTCAAGTAGGCAGTTGCAGGTCACTTAAAGTCACAGATCCAGCTGCGCGAGGAGGTTCTGTGGGTGGTAAAACTTAATGAATATATTTAAGCCAGCTTTGTCTATATTATCAGTGCAGTTTGAATCACAGCACATTGCCCTGGGGTGCTACGACTGCGTAGTGTTAAAGTCAATGGCAATTGCAGGTCACACATCCAGCTGTGCAAGAAAGTTCTGCAAGTGATGGTGGTGATGATGGGGTGCTGTAAGTGTACGTAAATCGGCTTTGTCTGGATCTCTGGTGGGTCGAGCAGGTGTGGGTCGTTGTGTTCGAGGCAAACGTAGAGGCGCAGGCAGTAGTTCCGGCATCACGCTGTGGTGCGTCACCAGAGCGCATAGCGACGTGAACTCCTTTGTGAAACCCTGTAAATAAGTAAGTTTTGATTTAATGAAGATGTTCTGTTTATTCGGAGGGATATTTGCTCTCGCTAGAGCTACACGGCAATCGCGAGTGCATCAACAGTACCGGATGGATCGAGCTATGAACACTACAACTCTGTAAAGAGTGCATGACTAGAGAGTATTTAGTTTTGATTTTTTTTTGCGTCTAAGGTTGAATAGGGTATTAGACAAGTTTTAGATAAAGATCTCACGTTATTTACTAATGTTTATGGAGTCCAGAAAAAGGTGGATATTTTTAATGCTGTTGTGTAAGTAAAAAAACAAAGAATTTTTTTAAATTTTCAAGTTACCGCGAAAACGTTTCTCTGGATATTATGGCGTCACACGTCTGTCATTAAAACGTCAAACGATACAATGTAATGTCACTTTGGCTGGAAGTTTACTAGCGTGTGACATCATTTTAGTCTTGACCAATCCCAGGCGTTGTTGGTCACGTGGCCATATAGCAAAAAAAAACATTTCTATTAATGGTTCTATAGAAAAGTTATTAATTATTTATTCTTTCAGAATAATAATAATTATATTAAATTGAGATGCCAACAATTGGTACATTATTTCACATACTATCAAAAAGCCTTTTAGAAGAGAAAAACAAATTTGATTAAAGCATATTTAACACATACCAGTCATTTAATTTTTTTTTTTGAACGGGAATAAAGTGCAGTCGTCGTTGTCATTATCAACAGCCTATCTTAGTCCACTGCTGAACGTAGGCCTCTCTAATAGCACAACACAGATCGATCTTGATGTAAAATGTTATGTACCTTTTTAATTTGTCATTTTTTTGACAGGCTCTGAGGCTGCAAGATGGAGACTGAAGAGGAATCGAAACGTTCAAATAGTCACGTTTTATACTTCTACGTTTACATGGTTTTATTAAAAAAATATTTCAGTTCCAAGAATTTGTTAACACGGCTTATCAGTATAAACTAAACAAGTATGCACTAAACAATTTCAACAGTTTCACAGTGGCTTTTAGAATTTGTAGCAGTATTGTATATTGAATTCCAAAATTGACCTTAATTTTATACCCCGCGCGATGCCCGAAGATTGGAAGTACTCGCACAGAGAGCGCGTAGCAATCCGCCTACTTTGTGACTCGAGAACCTCTAGTAATCTCTAAAATTATTTTATTCCAAAATTTACTTTGCGTAGTATGAGCACGGTAATAATATCATACAGTATTCTATCTTCATACAAACGGTCGGAAAGCGAGTCATACCTACGCCACTCGAGTTCGATGCGCTCTCGGCGTGCACCTAGTCGCGAATGCGCCGCCGCGCCGCAACGACGACCGAACGGTTTGAATTGTTTTTTATGCAGTTAGCCGTGCTTAAACATGCGTTTTGTATTGTAAATATTTGATTTAATTAAGTAGATACCTACATAATTTAGTATGGAAAAGAACAAACGACGATCAATATCGTACAACAGCACAATTGCTGTTTTTGGTTGCTTGAACTCTTCAATAACACACCCAGAGATATCATTTTTTAAATTACCTGAAATATTGGAAAGGTGGTCTTACCTTTATAGAATATTTTTTATATACCTATCTACTAGTACGTTATTTGTTTCTAATATTTAGGTATTTCGGTTTTTCCATCGGGCAAAATATCTGGAATAATATATAAATAAGTGGTTAGGAAGAAAAAAGAGACAAACGAGTAATCTACCTACACTGACTCGCGTTAGAAACAAAACTACATAAAATACTGTAGGCTGGCGGCCCTACCGCGTGCCAACGCAGCGTTCGGTGTAGGCATTTATTTTCAAGGACAGGGCGGAGTCACATTACTGTATAGATAATATTACCGTGGTATGAGGTAATGCGCGATGCTAAAGGGCTGGAAGTCACGCGGTACTCGTAGCAGCCCGCCTGCGTTGTGCGACCCCGCACTAGAAACGCCCCGACCAGGTGACTGCTTAGAACCGATAGTGCTATCTCAGAATATTAATTTCCAAAACTGCCCTTAATTTTGTACCCCGGCATGCGTAGTATGAGGCAGTGCTCGATAGCCGAGGGCTGGACGTCACGCGGTACTTGCACAGAAAGCGCGTAGCAACCTGCTTGCGTAACCAACTGACTGCTGACAATCTCTAGTGCTATCTGAAAATATTAATTTCTAAAACTGACCTTAATTTTGTACCCTTTAGGCGTGCGTAGTATGAGGTAGTGCGCGATACCGGAAGGTTGGAAGTCACGCGGTACTCGCACGGAGAGTGCGTAGCAACCCGCCTGCGTTGTGCTACCGCGCACCAGAAACGATCCAACTGGCTGACTACTGAGAACCTCTAGTGCTATCTGAAAATAAGAAGATTGGAATATTTTAAAAACAACGGAAATAATTGGCTATTTTGTAACTTATTATTTATTCATTCAGAATGCTATCTTGGATTTTACTTTGGTCACTTATTTGATAGGATAGGATATGCGAAGTTGCTCAGTGGCAAGTGATTACAATGACCAATTATGGATATAACCGTTCTCGACCCAAGATGGCGCCGCTGATGAAGACGAGGTTGACCTACTACATACCGCTGATGGACTTTTTCTTTGTCAAGTCGAACTTTTCTAGGAATGCCATGATGAAATCAAGACACCTGTTTCAACTCCGGCTCAGCTCACGGCTCAATGTTGTTGCCGGAACCGTTCCCGCCGCAAGATGACGCTGCTGATAAAGACGATATCGTGCACTACATTCTTTGTCAAGACGCCAAGTAGGTATCAAAAGCCTGCACTCACTTCTCTCGGAATGCCCTTTTGCAACCAAGGCGCCTGTTTCAACTCCGGCTCAGCTCGCGGCACAATATTGTTGTCAAAGCCGTAGAAATCATTCCGCCACAAGGTGACGCCGCTGACAAAGACGATTTCGTCCTATTACATGCTTTTTTTCGTCTCCAAGTAAGTATAAAAAGCCCGTACTCACTTCTCTAGGAATGCCCTGTTGAAACCAAGGCGCCTGCTTTAACTCTGGCTCAGCTCGCGGCACATTGTTGTTGCCGGAGCCATAGGAACCATTCCCACCGCAAGATGACGCTGCTGATGAAGATGATGTCGTTCTACTACACGCCGCTGATGGACTACTGGAAACGGAGAAGCTGAAATATGGAAATGTTCATTATGTAGTAATAGGTCTCAATAGAGGTAATCGCTGCCACGAATGTTTAGAGTGTTCAGGCTGCAATCGTGGAAGTTCAGCAAGTTTCGCAATGGGCGGTCATCACTGGTGACCAAAAATCATTATCTCGAGCTCCTCCGTGCTTCGGAAGGCATTTTAAGCCGCTCGTTACGTTTGCATTAGCAATCATTAGCGAGGTACATATTACATATAAGGTATAGGAAAGAGATGCTGTTGAGTGGCTGTTGATTAGCGTCGCTCGTAAAAACCTACAATATACCTCTACCTACAACTTAGTTAGCATATATTATAAGTACCGTAATTTGATCAACTCTTTCTCTGTTGGCCTTGTGGTTACTTAGAGACACTACCTAGCATCATAGATATCAAGCTAGTCAGCTGGGTGAGTAACTTAATGGGCAGCTAGGTGGTCGACCACTGACAGCGGTAGCTGTAGACTTAGTTTAAAGTTTTGTTTATTAGTTTGGTGGAATCGAGGGGTTGGGCCATGACCCACTGTTGCCGACAGCCTCACCTCATCGTTTAATAGTCTTGTTTTATAAGACTTTTTAAATTGTTTATGTTTTTCTATGACTTTTGTGTATTTTATTGTATTATTCATGTCGTTCTTCTCGATATCAATTGGTCTGTAAATTTAAGTGTCTTTATTAATTCTTAGAGTCAGTTTTATTTATATAATTTTATACTACAGTCCCCCGCTCCAGACATCGTTAACATCGGTCCTTCGAAAGGTTAGTAACACCGGTAAGTCTTTTTCGTAAGTTTGGTTTTATTAAAATATTCAAAATGCAGACTCGATATAAGGCGGGATGTCAATGTTGAAACTTCACTTGCTCCACCCCCTTTTGAGGTGTAAGTGACTTCTAACACGCTGCCTCGATCTGCAAGGGCTATTTACACCAGCGCTTCAGCCGCAACTCGTCGACTTGCTGTTGAAGTTGAGCATGCTCAGGCCGCACTGCAGCTCAGAACTGAGCAAGCTGTTCTTGAAATGGCTGGCGATGGACTGTAGTTTAAAATTATATTAATAAAACTGCACAAAAATGAATTTTTTTAATTAGTGCGAATGTTTGATATCTGCCAGGAGTCCCGCGTCGACATACTGATTTAAGTAGGTACCATCTTTAGTTGACCAAAAAGTTGGAAATAATTACAGTTATAAATATTATTATTAGCTTACCAATTTTTCATATTATTACACCTCCGGAAATCCAAGTCTTGATCTTGCAGGGTTTCCCGGCGTCGCGGCGTGGGTGGCAGCTCGCGGTTACTCTCCCGCGTGCGCGCTTCTGCCTCAGATGCTTCATTTATGTAGCCACCGTTTAGACATAGAGGAAGGTTCGTAGGTCTGAAGAATTACAAGGTACAAAGTCAGATTTTTGTTAACTATGACTACATTTATGGATTCTTATCTAAGGGAATTCAGTCAGAACTTTTGCTGTCATCCTATAAAGCCAAGAAGCATTTCATGAGCGGTGGCCGGTCACTAAGCCGACGGCAGCAGTTAATCTTCTTCGAGGAAGACAGAACATTTCTACTTACGTTGTGGGTGTATCTGTGACTAATGGGGTAGAGTCATCATCTGATGGTTGCAACAATGCCCCGCTCAGGCCCATCGCTAGCCGTTTCATAAGCGGCGGCCGGTCGCCCAACCGACGGTAGCAGTTGATCTCCGTTGGGGAGTTCGACTCCTCGGAGCTGCTCGGGCTCGGTTCGTTTACTAGCTTCGTAACGCCCATTATGTCGCATTTCGTTGGGGATCTGGAAGTGAAATGTTGGAATTGAAAAATTAAGGATTTAGCATATTTCTCGTCGCACTCAAAGATGGTTTGTAGAACAAAAGGCAGTATACAGAAGGAAAGCTGGAAGACTAGCGCTTATCAGCGCTTGTCGGCGCTGGTCCTTACCGGTAACCGGCGCAACCATTTGTATGGACCAGCGCCGATAAGCGCCGATAAGCGCCGACAAGCGCCGACACGCGCTGGTCAGCGCTGGCACCGCCCTTTGAAATTAATGAACAATTAGGCTTCAATCTGCTTTCTTTATGTAACTGTTACCAGCGCTGACAAGCGCTGGTCGGCTTCCAGCTTTTAAGTCAGTTAAAATTATGAGCATTTAAATCAGTGATAAGTTACCAACCCACTGCTTGCATTAGATTCAGAATCTACCCAGTGCATAGATTGGTCTGTACTACATTTTCCAATTTAACGGTTCATTTTGAGTACATCTGTAATTTGGAAGAAGGCGCACGTAATGTAAATTACTAAAAATTTTCAACTTTGATTGTTCAATCAGAGGTAGATTAGGTACATCGAGCTTTTTTGTTTTTAATTACCGTGTGAGGAAGTAACATCCACATTACAGATAGCTACGTATCTTTTATAGTGTTGATTTTCTCTGTGATTAAGATTATTAAAGCTTCATGTTAATGGATAAGAGAAAGAGTTTAGGGCAGAATAGTAAGTGTGGCTGATGCGGCAATTATTTCTGCCGCATAAAGTATGTTTAGGACAAGACTTTGAATCAGATGTAGTGGAGTATTGTACTGGGTTCAACATAAAAAGATAAAAGTAGTTTGTATATATATACCTGTCCCCACAATGAGGGTAGTGGTGTTTCAGTCCTGGCAGTGAATCGGGAGCACGCACTCCCATGCCGCAGTCACTGCTCAACTCCTTGCTCTGAAATTAAATGAACAGCCAATTAAATACAAAGAATGTTATAATTTTTATTATTTTTAAAGCATGTAACTGCTTGATGTTTAAATCTAAAGAAAATATATCTGGAAAAAAATCCACGCGGACCAGGCAGCAGACGGGACTCGAACCCGCACCCTTCGCAATCCGGGCGAATGCACTGACCATTTATGCTACCGCGGCCCTCACAGACCGTGTTGAAATTCTTCTAGCCATTCTTAAGCTGCAAGGCAGCGCCATCTCTTCGCATTATAGGCAACCAACAATGTCAAATGAATACTTTTACAAGTATTAAACATTTAATATAACATGCTTTAAAATAATGAAAATTATAACTATAATTGCTATTTCTTCTTTCAAATGTTTAATACTTGTAAAAGTATTCATTTGACATTGTGGGTTGTCTATAATGCGAACAGATGGCGCTGCCTTGCAGCTTAAGAATGGCTAGAAGAATTTCAACGTGGTCCGTGAGGGCCGCGGTAGCATAATTGGTCAGTGCATTCGCCCGGATTGCGAAGGGTGCGGGTTCGAGTCCCGTCTGCTGCCTGGTCCGCGTGGAATTTTTTCTAGTTATATTCTCTTTAGATTTAAACAAAGAATGTTCCTTTCAAGTACTTTTTGTTTTTTTTTACAAGAAAAGTTGAACTTTCCCCAGGAAGGCTGGAATCGCCCGCCCACCCTTTGAATTCAGGGCGTATGCGTAGACCACTTATTATGCTATCGGGACCATTACCTTTCTTAAAATAAGAATATAATACAATTTTAATAAGTATTATTGCTATGCTATTAAGTATATCTGAGGACCAGTGCACTAATGTTCTTTATTTAAATTTAAAAAGTAATCATGTTTATAAGCCTCATTCTATCTCTTTTTAATCTATACTTATAATAAATCTGTAGAGATGTCAATTCTGTACATGAAATATATTTTTAAAAAAACTATCAGGGGGTGATTAGTGATCGATACTGATGTCAAAAATGCAATCAGTAAATTTTTTGTCTGTCTGTCTGTCTGTCTGTGTGTTTGTTCCTTATAGAAACAAAAACTACTCGACGGATTTTAACGAAACTTGGTACAATTATTCTTCATACTCCTGGGCAGGTTATAGTATACTTTTCATCACGCTACAATCAATAGGAGCAGAGTAGTGAAGGGAAATGTTGGGAAAACGGGAGAAGTTACTACATTTTTTAAGCTTCCGTCGCGTGTGCAGCCTTAATGATTAAAGTTACATAGAAATCATGTATGACGGAAATATTCTACATAAAATTGTCTAAAAAATATACCACAACAGCATATGTCTATCTTTTATGGTTGACTCACAATAACACGTGTAACTCCCGATAGCTTAGCAGTTCGGAGCATTCTGATCATATTTGTTTACTCTTACGTTTATAATACTCTGACTCATCCCTAATTTAAAAAAGTTAACATTATTACCTATTCAATAAAAACAAAACATAGAAATCGGTATAGAAACACCAAACTTATACATGAAATAATGTCGAACGCGCCGTCGCACGTGAATACTGAATCATGCTATAAGGATTATTTTTGTGTAAAAGGCGGGAGATCCGAGAGCGAGCTGTCTAAATCTGTTTTCTGCGTCGCTCCCCCCCCCCCCCCCCCTGGGGGACGATCGCTTCCGATGAAGCCTTAGAGGCCTTCCCGGCCAGAGGCAGCCCCTACGGGTGTTTTTTAGTCAGTACGAGTCTGACATAACCTTGCAGCCGGCTGTAGGGTATCCATGAGGATTTCTCACCTGCTCCCCCGTCTGGCAAGAAACAAAAAAATAAAAAAAAGAGAGCGAGCGAGCTTCAATATTTGGCTGTTGATGAGTTCAGAGCGTTCGACCTTATTGACAGACAATAATTGAGAAATATTGAGAAACCGTGCTTATCAGCGCGACTTTTAGTCTTTAAATAGTTTATTTGAATTTCTTTTGTTGTTATTTTGTAAAATAGGTATTAGTTGTTTTGGTACTGTTGAAATATTCGTTCAAATTAAAAATTATTAAGCGTAGGTACTTTTATTAATTAAAATAGTTATAAGTATTTATTTTTAAGTGAAGTAGGTATAGGTAGATAGTATTCCACAGGCGTTTCAGCTTTATTTTCTTTTTTTTTTGTTGTGAGTTGTATATATTTCTGGTTATAATTCTATAAGAATATTTTAGTTCAAATAGTCACTTAGATTTTATGTGTAAGGTAGCTAAAGTTAGGACCACGTATTAGTTGTTTTGGTAGTGTTTAAATATTCGTTCAAAGTGTAATTTAATCATATAGGATGAATGTACGATGGCCCATCGAAAAGGAGTAGAAGCGGTAGACAGAACTTTAAGAAATATAAGACAAAATGATCGACCCATGGGCGGTATCACAGTTTTATTTTGTGGAGATTTCCGACAAACCTTAACGGTAATACCACGGGGAACCCGAGCTGCTGAGGTTAGGGCTTGCCTGAAAAGCTCTTATTTGTGGCGTGATATACAATCGGTGCATTTGACTATAAACATGCAAGTGAGAACTGTAGATAACCCGGATGATCGTGAATTTTCTGATATATTATTAAAGAAAATACCTTCACCAAAGATACCTATCCACTGCTACACCAAGGAAAACTTATTCTGACGCCTGACTTATGTTGTATAGTGCAATCCCAACAACATCTTACATCGTCAGTTTACGGTGACGTAACAAATATATTAAATAAGAACAATTCTTGGCTATGCGAAAGGTCCATTTTAACTCCTCGCAATGACCAGGCATCTGAGATTAATAATAAAATACTGTCGAATATCCAGGGGGAAAGCAAAGTTTATAGTTCAATAAATAGAATGGCCGATGAACAAGAAGCCACTAATTACCCGATAGAATTTTTAAATTCTTTAAATATGCCCGTACTTCCTTCTCATGAAATTTGTTTAAAAATTGGCATTCCGATTATTCTGCTCCGAAATTTAAGACCACCACAAATTTGCAATGGAACTCGGCTTAAAGTAACCCAGTTGCAACAAAATGTAATCGAGGCTCAAATTTTAATAGGTTGCGGTGCAGGAGAAACCATCTTTATTCCCAGAATTCCCATAATACCAAATAATTTTCCATTCCAATTTAAAAGAACGCAATTCCCAGTATCGGTGTGTTATGCAATGACAATAAATAAGGCTCAAGGGCAGACCTTTCGTGTTGTTGGAGTAGATCTCGGTGTCAGTTGTTTTTCACATGGTCAGTTATGTCGGTCTTTCCCGGGTTAGCAGTCCTAGATTTTTTTATGTTCACGTTCCGGACGGGTCCAATTTCGTGGGTATACTCACGGGTCATGGCTACTTTAACAAACACCTTTGTAATATAGGTATTTCTGACAGCCCTCTGTGCAGAGCCTGCCTGGAGGCGGATGAGACGAGCGCCCATGTCCTACTGGAGTGCAGGGGCGTTGCAAGACAAAGGACTTCTCTAATGGGAAGCCCGAAGACAATAGTAGAGGCCTGCAGCAACATTCGGGGACTGCTGAGCTTTCTGGAGGAGCTGGGATGGCAGGACTGATGCCAATCCCCACGCAAAATAGGCACTAGGTGTCGAGTTGCGGAAACAGCCCGCCGTACTACTAAGACTAAGACTAAGACGGGTCCAATTTCAACGTAGTCTACCCGGAAGCTTTGCGCTGAAGTATTTTCATTCTATATGTACTTAAGACTCATGTGAAAGCGATCTAAACAATATTACCAATACATTAACATAATAACATACAAGGAGTTACACGCTGATGGTCTCGGGGCACAGTGATAATAATAATATTCTGCGGTTCCTTATTGCGATATTTTTAACAGTATTATATTTCCCTACTAAAATACGAAAGTTAATCTGTCTGTCACATCAAAACCACGGAACCCTGAGGAAGGACATATGCTACTTTTTTACGAAAAACGATGATAACGCGGACGAAGTCGCGGGCAAAAGCTAGTTTTAAATAATTGTCAAAGATGGAATGATCTTTTGAACACCATTGAGCCTTAATTTGAATAAGGGACTTCGGTGCAAGTGTGCCTTAGTACCGTAGACTATTTCACCTGGCTACACTGTTCGCTCGTAACTATTCAGAACTCGTGCTTGCACACATCTCTCGCATGAGTTGTCTGTGCAAACTAACCCCTATTTGCTAGAAATTCTCTGAACAAAGAAAAACTTTCCTATGCAATCCTTCGTATCAGACTGTCTCAGTCTTCTGGTTTTAACAGGCTAGTAAAATTGATTTCTGATTTAAAAAAAATCATACTATTACCACATAAATATCAAACTTGCTCTTACCCGCACCCTTCGCAATCCGGGCGAATGCACTGACCAATTATGCTACCGCGGCCCTCACGGACCGCGTCGAAATTCTTTTAGGCAGCGTCATCTCTTCGCATTATAGGTAACCCACAATGTCAAATGAATACTTTTACAAGTATTAAATACTTAAAAGAAGAAATAGCAATTATGGTTATATTTTTTATTATTTTAAAGCATGTAACTGCTTGATGTTTAAATCTAAAGAAAATATAACTAGAAAAAAAAAATTTTTTACTAGATTTTTTTTCTATGCTATATGCTTTAAAATAATAAAAATTATAAACTTGCTCTTTTTAGTTATCTCCATAGTAATTGAAACTGGAACCTCATAGAAAACATCGCTAATACATGCTTCACGGTTACAAAGATCATGAAAATACTGCGGGAAAAAAATCTGCTCCCAAATATTTATTAACACTACAAAAAAAAGAATTCCGTTATATCTTGTTTGACTCAAGAGTAAGTAAATAATTTAAACATTACATTATTTCGCATTAGAATCAATGAATTTCAATTCATCCGTCTATTTGTTTGTTCATAACGTGAGAGCATTCTTATAATGCAATAAATCAAGCAACATTCCAGCACCAAGAATGCCAACTGAGGGGCATTATCTCAGCAATAATGGGATCGAAATCACTGCCTGTCAG